CAGTGCTCGCATCGTTTCGCGTACACAGAAACCTATTGAAGTTTGAAGTGTATATCACACATAATATATCTTTCTTTCAAGTACATAACAAACAAAAGTTATACAGTATATGTTCACATTCCAAACACGTGTTGCAACGAGACTATAGGAAGTTATTATTGTTAATACAGTTACACGCTGATATTTGTTGTGGATGATTTACAAACATAACGTTTTCGACACAGTTGTCAGTGTCAAAACTTACTGGGCAGGTCGTTTAGGATCATATAGCTGGACCATCGTGGGCAATTTAATCTATGTCCAACGGGATAGACGTGCTGCTTAGTATCAATGCCCTGAAAATATATCTACATGTCTCTTGAGTAAGTCGTTTGATCAACAACTCGACAGGCGAATAGGTAGTGCCGTCCGCCAGATCTCTAGTTGGCATTCAATGTGCTTCTGTACAAATCAATTATCAGTAGTAGTCTTATATATATATATATATATATATATAAAGTATCCAGGTTTAGTTGTCTACTATACAACACTCTGTCACAGATCGAGCAGTGTATATATTTCCGCAAGGTACAGTACGTCAGAAATTGATGGACGGGCTTGTTTCAACGAGAGATATGGATAAGCTTTCATGAACGAGACTTTCGAACAGGGTGTGAGAGACAGAGTTTAACCTTATCAGCGGGCCATCAGTACGCGAGAATACTTTAACCCAGAGCTTTTTTGTGTGTATACATATAAGTTGTAACGTTTCCCCTTCCAGGCCATTTCGGTATATAAATAAACGTTAAACCGATAAAACAAATAGACGATCGGGCATTCGTTCGGTTCGGTGTCCAGCTTTATTTTTTAATGTTTTAAAAACAAAACACAAAAACATTTTTTTTGTCACGCCCAAAAAAAGGATCAAGAGCGTCAGGCCGTCAGCGACTTTAAAAAATACGACATTCGGGCATATTCGCGCTCTCCAGACTCCCAGAGTCACTCTTACTCTTTTAGAGAGAGACCTAAATATCATATGAGCGATGCGTTAAAAACGTTTATTTAACTTTAATTCTATGTGATTATGTACATACTCTGGTTAGTCATTATACTCATTTGATACGGATTCTTTTTTGTTTGTTTTGTTTTAAAAAAACAAAACAAAACGGACATAAATACATATAATGAGCCGTTTGAACTGTTGTCTAATTTTCAGAAGGCTGTGTATGACTTTGAACTTGAAAAATAAATCACAGGCGAAAGATCGTCCGAGCTGTCCGATTTTATTTTTGCCGAATTTATTTTAAAATAAATACTGTATGTACAGTGGTACACCCTAAATACACCCCCTTTGGGTTTTTTAAATTTGTTTTTAAAAAAACCACTACGTAAAAAAAATCAAAAATAAAAGTACATCTGGAGTTCTGAAGACCTGCAACTGCAACTGCAAGTCGCAAGAGTGCAGATTCAGAAACTGCAGCGCAATATTTTCAACAA